AAAAGGAGACTTCTGTCTGCCTAGTTAATCACATTGTCTGTCTGAACTGTGCAGCTGTTTTGACAGAGCAACTTAAAAGGCAGCAACATGTGTCATTAACYTGTATTTACAGATTTCAGGAAAAAGGTGAGATCTGCAGTAAAAAGCCCTTGGGATTCCAGGGCAGCAAGTAGCCCTGCGTGGTGGTAGCAGGTCTGCCCACATACAGCTGTGCATGGTCGAGACTGCACAGCTTGTGTGTGAGTCTAAAATAGAAGTTATTTAATTCATCATTTATACAAAGCAAACAAAATGAGGAGTGACTGAAGTAGCGAATAACCCTTTTGTGGTTTGGTAGTGACAAAAGCCATTGACGTTTTTCTTGTTTCGTTCCTGAATTGAAGATAATGGGCAACAGCTGTGGATATCCCATGATTTCCCTTCCACTTAGTTACTACAAAGCAGACATTAATCATAGATACACAGTGTAAGTGCAGAAGATGCATTTTTCCATCCATAATCCATAACTTCCCTCCATATTCCATGAACCATATTCCATCCATAACTTTATATTTACAACAGCCCAGAGGATGCCTTTAACTTTGCTATAAGTTATGACAAAAAAAATAAAAAAAAAGTGCGGAATTGAGGCATAAAAACATAAGAAGTGCWGAGGGATGTATGTCTACGTATATACTCCTAGGGCTCACTCGTCACTGTCAGGTCCATGTGCTATCCGCACATTTTCCCCTTCCTATTCCCAGCGCCTCCACCGAACACGTGACCCGCCTCGCGGCTGGACGAACGGCGGAACCGCCGGCGCGGCGCGCACGCACCCGGCGCGCTGAGGCGGGCGCACCGCGGCGGCGCCTGCGCACTGCGGCGGGGGGCTCGGCGCCGCGGCCGCGCTGCGAAGATGGCGGCGTTTTCGGGTACGCGGGGCCGCGGCTGGCGCGGTCGCCGGGGGGCCTCGGGAGCCCCTCTCGTCCCCCGGTGCGGCCGGCGCCGCGGGRCGGGTGCCGGGGTCCCTGCTGTGGGTGTGCGGGCGCTGTCAGGGCCGAACGCGGGCGCGCGAGGTGCCACGCAGCCGGCGGGAGGCGGCGGGGCCTGTGGGAGGCAGCGGCTGCTCCTGGCGCTCAGGAGGCCTCACTAATGGTTTCCAGCACAGGTTTGCCGCTTACAGGGCCTGTGTGCACTTGCGAAATGGCTCTGYTTAGAAGTTCCGATTGGTTTCTCAGTCTAGCTCGGAACAGGAGACTCGCTGATAACGGCTGTGGATATTGCGGAGCGCAGCAGTTGTAATGTGCAAACCTGAAAATACCTGACCCTAAAAGTCACCCTCGATTCCTGCTGTGTTTGTTTTTCCGTTATATCAGCCTCTGCTGTGCTTTGCTCACCCTGTACCACCTGCTGCCATGTACATGTGATTCTTTCCATGGTGATTAAAAAGTGAGGGCTGCTGTCAAAAACGTGTGTGTGTGTGTTTGGGGCGGGGGGGGGAGGTTAAACGTGTTTTTTGAGTGTTTTGAGTTCTACAGAGAAGGTAGGGCATCATATTGATGATAATTGTGCTTTTTTTTATTTTTGGCAGTAGCTGGAAAAATCGTATTTGTGGGATTTCAGATCTGCTTTGAGATAACTAACACTGTTTGATGGATATTTTTTTTTCTTCTCCTCTTCTCCTTTCTTCTTTCTTTACAGAAATGGGTGTTATGCCGGAAATAGCTCAAGCAGTGGAGGAGATGGACTGGCTGTAAGTTGGCAGGTTTAAACCTCTGGGTCTGGCAAAATTTCAGTTTTGTCTCTCAGAGAGGTATCATTTGCATCCTGAAATATCTGCAATCCCTCAATGCCAGCACAGACACATGTTTTCCTTTAACTGTTATTAAATCTCTTGTGTTTCTTTGATGTGAATGATGGAAGAACATAACTTGGAAGGCTGGCAGCAGCACTTAAGCTTTGATGAAGTACAACAGATTGCTCTTCAGTGTCATTTGTTTGATAAAAGCCTTTATGCTTCTGGCTTGCTTATTGTAGTATTATTAGAAGAAATCTTGTCAAATAATAGATGCAAGTCTAGTAATTGTTTTCCAAACTTTAATCTGAATGTTTGTGTTCTGCAAGGTTGATGCGAAAGTGTCTTATCCTGCTGTAAAAGTTATTTACTAATGTGCAATTACTTGTCTCTGCTACTTGCTACTTGTTTGCTTAAATATTTTAGTTTAAGGCTTATCTTATACTAGTTTGGAATGTTGTTTGTATGGACAGCTGTAGTGTGTGCAACTCTTCTTCACATGAGGGGCATTAATTATCTGAGATTGTTTCTAAGTGCTGCTTACGTTCAGTTAACTTGACTTTTTCAATTTTGAATTAAAATCTTGTAAATTATAAGTAGCTTTAAATGTTAACTACGCTGGCAGAAGGGAAAGTTGGAAATAAACAAGCAGTCTGTTTCTTTTTTTGCCAACTTGGTGATATGGGAGATGTGGCTGTCTTGTCAGAATGCAAGTGAATCTGCTGTATCCAGTAGTCAATTTCTGACCAGATACACCTCCTATGCCAAACTTTCCATACAGATTTGGGCATTTTTTTGCTTCTTAACCTACCAGCCAGGAAGAATAACTTTCACCTTTTAGTTGGCCTCTTGCAGATGCCTGGTACATTTAAGCAGCTTTTGCACATTTATACAAAATGGAAAATGCTTTTATCTTCTGATGACTTGTATTTGTGTTAATGTTCTTCCTGTAGTCTCCCCACAGATATTCAAGCAGAGTCTATCCCACTGATTCTAGGAGGTGGTGATGTACTTATGGTACGTGTGCTACATAGCCTTTTACGAAGAAAACGTTTCTTTTTGAGTTGTTTATTAAGTCAATTCCTCCTTTCCAGAATGTTCTGCGTTTAGTGCGTGTGCTGATCTGTTCTTTTGTAGTTAGAGTAAAAAAGTATCTTCTTCGCTTAAAACCACCAGTTCCTGGTGTGCTTCAGGACATGGTACCTTGCAACTTACGTAGTTTTTTGCTAATTATTTTTATTGACTCATTTTATGAAAACACAGTGTTTTTGCAGATTGGATTGGCTCTTTTCAGGCTTTAGTTTAACCACTTCACAGACAATGTCGTGTGAAGGACAGCTATCTGAGTTAATGTAATTTCTTGTTTTTGTTGTTTGTCTCAACRAATGCTTCATTGATCAGTGTTCTTTGCCCTGCATTCCTTCTGCAGATTTGTCCATTCTTCATCTGTAATCAAAATACCTCCTACTACAATCAGCCATAAAGAGATTTGTTTTCCCCTAGTGCTATCTGAGAGCTTCTGTATTCCAAATCTTTTCTGGTTTCCTATCCAGTTTACGTGTGAAGAAATGACATTGCTGTATACCAAGATTTTCTGTGTTACCCTACGGCCAAAATGAATTTAGCTTATACTTTATAAGCAAAACTGTAGAACAGTCATTAGAGAATAAGCTCTAACATTATAAACTCTTTATTTTTTCCTACAGGCTGCAGAAACGGGTAGTGGAAAAACTGGTGTAAGTAATCAGATTTAAATCTAATGTTGTAGAAAATAGCAGCCTATCTGTAAGAAGTACTGTGAGTGGAGCGTTTCGGTTTTGTTTTTCTTTGTGTGCTTGTAGGTATAGAGAGAATGTGTATGAGATGAGTGTTTAAGTAGTACTGTTGGTCTTTACAAACACATACCTAGGCTAATTTTGAAGTATTTCTAACCACTATATATCTATATATTGCAGCTGAAAACTGGGCTGTGTAAATATATTTATTTATTCCTACCCATTACTTATTGTTCCTCACAACACGTGTGAAGCAAAATAAAATTTGTGTTTCAGGCTTTTAGCATTCCAGTTATCCAGATTGTTTATGAAACACTGAAGGATCAGATGGAAGGCAAGAAAGGGAAAGCAACCATTAAGACTGGTGGAGGAGGTAGGTTTTCATCTATGACTCTCCTGAGTGTATAATCCACACACTCCAAACACCCTCATTACCAAAGTAAAGCTAAACAAAACCATGTTTAATGGCAAAGTAGATTTTTTTTCTTTTTGTGTTTTTGTGAGTGTGGGGAAGATGATGTAAATTAAATACACAAGATGATAGGAAATTTTGAGTATAAATGTACTAGTAGAGTCATGGGAAATAACTGGGATACATTTGACTGGCAGTGCTTTTACCACTGCTGTTGTCTTTAGCTTAGGGCTGATTAATCTATGCTATGCTCTTCAGCATTCTTTTTGAAAGCCTTGCTAGTTTAGTGCCTTGCAAGATGTGAAGTGGTAACAGTGTCCAGCTTAAAAAGTAAATAATAAATAAATGAAATCTTCTGGTTGCTGGATTGGCTAAGTCATAAGTCGTGATGCAGATAAATTGGCTCAGACCTGTTATATAAGATTGAGTTCTTCTAGGTGCAGAATGATTTTCTGGGTCTGAGTAAWTCTGTACAATGTCTTTCAGTTCTACTGTGCTGAATAAAACTATTACGTTCCTTTGGYACCTGGCTAGACTTTGCAAGCTGAATAATGAAATCTTGCTTGACACTGTGTTTGGTAGTAGAAGTTGGATTGAATCGGCAAGTGGTTGAACAGAACTACAACCAGTTGATAAGAATTGATTCTAACACCTCCC